TAACTGATAAAGCAGAAGAAAAAGGACATGTGTCAAAAAATGTACCTGATTGTGCCACCCAGTAGAGCCCCTTGTTTAACATTGTAGCGAACCGACAAGGAAGTTTGTATCCCTAGCAGGAACCTAAGCCCGATCATTTGTTTACATCTGCTGTCCAATCAATTTGTTCTTCATATAGTAAATAATACAAGATTAGCAAACTTTATATTGATCATTTGCTCATATTGCTGGCAAAACTGCAGATATATAATAGAGATCATAGAATTAGTTGTTATTTATGAAATTTAGAGTATTACAGTGACGTCTTGCTGTGACCTTTTTTTTGACTTGATCAGCTTAATGTGCCTCTCAGAGTACTTTGTCATGATGCCTCGTTACTCGCTAAACCCCCAACATGCACCTGCCCACCTCCTATGGTTGCTACGGTAATCCACATGGAGAGGCTCCCCCAATGCTGCAACAAGGTACTACAGCTAATCCACAATACTCCCCAGGGCTGGATGAATATGTTGGATTCATGTTTTCTCATAAACATTTTGCACAGTCCTTTTTTTTAACACTATGGATCTTGTCTGTTATATTTAGTTGCACTTGCTTGTCATTTCCTTCTTTCCCACCTTTTGCTCACACGTTGTTATGTGTCTCACCGTTATCACCACCGATCATCAATTCGTAGAATATGTTGAATCAGGGCTATACACAGTTTTTGACCCAAACATCTGACTAAGATCATACAGAATCGTTCAATGGCACGACGAGTGCTCAAAAACTCTACAGGGTAACTTTCCTTTTGACCCACAGAATGACTTCAACGTTAAAATTATTTATTAAAATAACTCTTTTTCCTTCACAGATTCTTTTGTTCTGTGAGGAATGTCTTTGTCAAGATTGACAAAGTAATTTTCAATTTTTTTCATGCTTGAAGGTGGTTTGAAGGACACGGCACAGCGATCTCTGTCTGCACACAGAGGGATTAACTACAGGAATTTTGTATGAATTTATGCTTCAGTGTATGAAATGCTCAAACCACAATTACATCAGTCCTTGGTGTAACTTTTTGTGCACTCCATGAAGACCATGTAAAGGAAATTCAGGGATTCGTCTCTAAACACATCATACATGCCAGAAAATAACTACTGAGAGCATGTTAAAAGACCATGAACTATGTAGTAGACGACTGCTTTGGGATCCTGCAGGTCCTGCTGGACCCAACAAAGATCTCGCAGAAGCAGGTGGTTTTGCTGGTGGGCTTTGAACAAATAAACTGCGAGTCACAGGATTTACCTCAACCAGAAAGTTGGAGTCAACACGTTCATTTAAAAAGAGGACTGAAGTAGGTTTTTGCAATGCAAAAGCAAAGCAAGGCAAGTCTGACGTGTGTAAAGGTCCTAGTTGTTACTGACAAAGACAGAAAAGAGCTGAACAAAAAGTGTTACGATACAATGGGCACAAAACTGCCACCTTTGGGTTAATGCGACACCTGCTTCATTCACCCAGGTCAAAGTAAATTTTTTTTGAAGATAAGCTCCTCTTCCTGCACATGTTAAACAACATGCTATCAAGACATGTATGAAATGTGCATATACTGCCCAAGAATAACAAATTCTTATGAGTTTAATTGTAAATTTGAAACGTTATTACCAACAGATATGCATTTCTTTATTAATTCTACACAGTATAATGACGTGTTTTCCCTGCGGGAAAGGAGAAGACACCGGATCAATGACACTTTACATTGTGTATACAAGCTTCAGGCGCAGGGCTCTGCTATGTAGGACTGAATTGTGGAGTTAGACTGTTTTTCGTTATTTTTGTTTTCATGGTTTTGGCATGACCCTTCTCCCTACGGATACATCAACTACAGCCCATTAGCATCCGTGTTTATTTGTTACACCTACCAGCCAACAGTTTGCAGCTAGCTTTGCAAATGCATCTTCTCTAGATGCCAGAATTTGCAGAACAGCTTGGCTTCTGTTATTAAATTTCCCCAGACTGATGAGATGAAGAAGAGGTGGATTGATTTAGTGAGGAGCCACAATGGTAAAGCACTGAGGATCAGCACCTGCTTTGATTTTACACCAACTAATATTACCGACGAAGATTTAAGGATAGTCATGACTGAATAAAGATTGAATTAAATTTAAATGACAGACAAAATTACAGACATTAGTGATGAATGAACTGACCGTTTCCTGTCCTGCCAACATCCGCCACTATCAGTACATGCCTATCAGTGAGTGTAGGTTTCCTTGTGTGCTTAGCTTATTACAGTATTATTTCATCATGACAAATTTTCCATATCTTAAGTTTATCTAACATTGTTGATTTAGTTAGAACTCAGGTCCATATGTGCAATTAGTACTGTTCTTTTGTGCTCATGTGAAAGCTGTCAGTCAGCCTTCAGTGGAGAGAATGCTGCTGATTTTTTTTCACTGTTCTGAAACCTAATTCATGTACTTTCCAGTTTGTTTGAATCATTTAAACTTGTCTTTGAAGTTAATAACAGTTTTCTGTGGTATGACATACTTATAACACATTTACTTTACAGACTTTAATCAGCACAAGTGTCGTGCACACCAGCATCTCCTCTGTACATTCATTCAGCAGCCTCGTTTCCATCACCATTTACTGCAGCCTTCACTGGGGGGGAAAAAAGGAGAATGTTTCAAGTGAACATGAAAAAATTCTAAGAAACAGAGAAAATCTCATCAATTTCTTCCATTTTTATTCAAAACATTTATTGTTCAACACATGTAGTAATGAATAATGAAATGAAATTACTCAGAAGGATGCCCTGGAGTTGATTACACCGCAGTGTAAATTCACCGTAGAGAAGAGTTGATGTTTTTTGTCACAGGTATTATACAAGCAAAGAAGCTTATAAATGGAATTCAGCCCCACAAGCAGTCGTCAGTCAAGGCTTTTGTTGCCGTTCCCGCAGTCAGCTCCTGAAGTTGTTTACTTCTGTAACATCTCATTCAGCCGAGGATGTGGATAACCTTGACGGAGGGTTAATGGCACATAAACGCTCCGCGAGGACTTGGGTTTATTCACACGGTGTAGTCTCACTAAACAGAGAGAGGCACAACAGCTTTTCATTTTTTGCGTTGTAGCTAAACACAACATTTTGTGTTGTAGCTTTTGATTTCACTTAGTGCTTGAAATTTACATGCATCGCACACAAATTGCTTGTCTGTTGGAAAATAATCAGCTACAGTTTTGATTACTAATAAACAGTTAAAGTAATTTTTAAGTTAAAATGCACAAATTGGGCAGCTGTGGCTCAGGTGGTAGAGCGGTTGTGCTCTGACCATAAGGTTGGTGGTTCGATCCCCGCCCCCTCCACAGTCGAAGTGTCCTTGGGCAAGACACTGAACCCAAAGTTGCTCCCAATGGCAGGCTAGCGCCTGCATGGCAGCTCTGTCGCCATTGGTGTATGAATGTGTGTGTGAATGGGTGAATGAGAAAACATTGTAAAGCGCTTTGAGTGCCGCAAAGGTAGAAAAGCACTATATAAGTGCAGACCATTTACAATTTACAAAATTAACATGTTTCAGTTATTTAATGATACAAATGTTGGGGTTTTTTTGGTCCTCTGATAGTAAGCTTTGCATTTCTGACTGTTTGATAAGAAAAAAGGGACTTCAATCTGTCAAATTTAGATTTAATAAATGTGAATTTGCATTTTCTCAACCACTGGATTTATTATGAATGGTTGCTCCTTTAGATTTAAGGGTTGCCATTTAATAGATCAGATTCTAGTCATTATCACTGTAATTTCAAACCATATATCTACTTCATTTGATGTGTCTTTGAATAAAAACTGTTCAGACTGCACGTCATTTTAGCCCCTTTTAGGCATGCATTTGTCTCCGTTAGTCTTCTGTCATCTGAATGCTGGCTTTTCTGTAAAAGCTGAGACAACAGTCTTACTTAGTCAAACCCAGAAACATTTCACTTTGAACATGACAGAAGTCTGAACTGCATGAAGTCACATTAACAGAGACATACTTGCGGTTCTGTTAGGTAATTGGAAGACTTTTTCCACATTTCAACACCAGTATTGGTTCAGAGAGCAAAAGACAAAGATTGAAAATCACAAAAACATTTTTCTTGTTCAGTTTGCTTTACAATTTTACTAATATTACAAACTATAATGTTCAAAAAA